TAGGACTTGGTCTCCAGACCCCTCACCATCTTTGTTGCTCTCCTCTGAACATGTTCCAGCTTGTTTATATTCTTCTGAAATTGTGATGCCCCAAACTGAACACAGTACTCTAGGTGAGGCCTAATCAGAGCAGAGTAAAGTGATACCATCACATCTCGTGATTTGGACACTATACTTCTGTTGTTTGGCTGAATTATTTGGCTTGGTAAATACCGAATGCACATATCTACTACCATCCTAAGCCAAGTTACTCCATTCCAAGACCACTTAAGTTGAGGGCCTTAGAAGGGAATAACTCTGGATGGTTTGGATAGATAGAGATTTAACAGCTTTTGTGACTGAAGCCCCAAGTAGTATTGCATGACAAAGTAATACACAAGTAATAACCATTGTCAGCAGCAGCAAAATAGAGGTGATGTCAGAATTTAAGATGGTAAGCAGAAGGATTGTTTAAGCAATGAATAAGCAAATAGCCTTTGTAAATAAACTGTGAATAAAGTACAGTTTATGTGGTTAGGTAAACATAACCACCTTGAGTAAACTTTAAATAAGTGGATTTTATTGTGGCTGAGTTGATAATAGAACCTAAGTATCACACACAATAAGTTTGCCTCAGTAGTCTGCTCGTTTATATTCTACTTTTCAGATGTATGATTCTTAAAGCAGCCAACAACATTAAAATAAAACAATAACTATTTCTATAAAAAGAAGCTTGTTAAAGAAAAGTTTTAGTCTTTTCAAAGCATAAAAGATGTACTTCTGCCCTATTTCTGATCTGTTTAAAGTCCTGTTAACTATTAAGGGCACAGGAGACTTTTCTGAGTTAGTTATGGGTGGGTAAAAATGAATAAATTTGGGAGAGTCCTACTTCCCATCCTGTCTCACATATCTTCCCCTATCTCACAATCCACACCATCCCTCCCCCATTGTACCTGCAGACAGAGAACTTTTATTCTGGAAAAGAATGCTATACAGGGAATTGTAGCAAACTTACTTGTGCTTGCTTATGTAGTTAAGAAGTAGCCCTAGGATACTTCTGGGCCCGTAGTGCAAGTTAGCAGTACACTCCCTAATTATGTCGATTCAGTGATTCCCAAATCTACTGCTAGGAGATGATGACCACAGTTGTGTCATCTTAGTTTCATAAGCAAAGTTAAAGTAAAGCAGAAGAAGAGCTCCTATTTTTGTCCATTAAGTTTTGCAATTGTGTGACTAAATCCAAAGTTGAAGTGATCTTTGGCGACTTTCTGGCTGCAGATGTGCATATAAACATGCTTTAAATGTGTACAGTGATGGAAGGGGCAAAAAATTCACATGTGGTTGTACAATACACTGTAAGCTTTTTGTACTTTCCTTCTGCAGGCTATAAAGTTCTCTCTCTCCTCGATGTGCCTGAGGTGAACCAGGAAAAAGCTGATGTGTATATTCATGTAACATACATCAAAAAATGGGACATATGTGCTGGCAATGCAGTGCTGAAAGCATTAGGAGGTAAAATGACTACCTTGGCAGGGGAGGAAATTAGTTACACTGGTTCAGAGGACGTTGAAGATGGGCTCATAGCCAGTATAAAGATAAACCACCAGAGACTAGTGGAAAAACTTCCAGTTCTAGACAAGACTTCACAGAATTAAATTCTGGAGAATGAACAAATCATGCTTCTGGAGCCTCAAAGTAGTTACCAGGGAAATGTAAAATTGACCTTTGAAAGATGGTACACTCAAAGAAATATGCTTTTGGAGGACCACACAGACTTACAGGACCATCATTTGGCAGTGTTTAAGATTATTGGATCACAAGATTTTCTCATGCCTCAGTATCCACCTTTAATTTCTGATACTTCTTCATGACCACTGAAATCAGTGCTTGTAATAAACTAAACACATTACAGATTTGTTCTGGTGACCTCTCATGTTTTGTCTGGGTAATCTTTGTGTAATCGCAGAAAAAAATGGTTTTACTGACTTAAAATCCATGGACAGTGCATGATGCTCAGATATTTTCTCTTTGGGATACAAATGGCAGGAAGACTGAAGTGTCTTCATGTGACAACTGTTCATCTTGGCTACAGTTTTAAATGATAAAGGATGTGTTTGGTTCTGTTTTAATGTTTACCTGAAATTTAAACCAGCTTAATGTGGATGAGAAAATTGTGTGGTTTTATTACAGCATTTTTGTGTACCATTTTAAAAGAAAACATTTCTCTGAACACTCAGCAATTGAATATTGCCATTCTTTTCAGTAAAAGGTGTTAAGTTTTTCACATTGTTGAGCTTATGAAATAGCCATCTGTCTTTAGTGATTGCTTACTTACTAAACTACTTGATTTTTGTTGTCAACATAAAATGAAACTCAAATGTTAAAGACATTAATGAATCTAAAGTGTCTTGCTGGCTGTTATATTGTAGAAATTCCATTTAAATGATGCACTCCACTATTTGGGTTCTTGATTAGACAGTCCCACATAACAATTGTAGAAATTATCAAGAATTCATAAGAACATTTTAACACAATTTCCCTCCCTTAAATTAATTTATGATAAACAATCCACAAGTTTTGCTCATTGAGGAAAAACAGTAAAGGCCTTTTCGTGTGGTAAACAAGTGGTAGTTAAAATTATATGTGAGCAGCCAAAAGTAGATTTGCAAGCTATATTTAATTGGTTAAACTTTGCAGTTTATATCATCCCTTCTTAATTGGTGGTGTTGACAAAGAAAAACTCTGGGTTTGGATCATGGGAACATAAAGGCCATACATCTTTTCCAGCTTACACTTCTCAAATGTGACAAATGGCAAGTAAAAGTACTGTGATTCAACTCCAAGTGAATGGCAATGTAGGAAAATAGGCCAGTTTATGTAAACTGGAAAAAAATCATTCTATTTCACACGCTTACTGTTTTTATTTTAGCTTCTAGTATGCTAATCTAGGATGCTTCACTTATAAAACCAGGCATCTAGTTGGTTAAAAAAAAATCACTGCTTGGTCAATGCTGCTGAAGAAAACTTCTGAAGTAAACACTAGAACCTTTAGAACTAGAAGGTTCCAAAACTGAATTTTATTAGAATGCTGCTTCTATCTGTTGGAGAGCCAGTTTGGTGTAGTGGTTAAGTGTGCGGACTCTAATCTGGGAGAACCAGGTTTGATTCCCCACTCCTCCACTTGTACCTGCTGGATGACCTTGGGCAAGCCATAGTTCTGTCAGAACTGTTCTTGAAAAAGAGCAGTTTCTGTCAGAGCTCTCAGCCCCACCTACTTCACAGGGTGTCTGTTATGGGGAGGGGAGGGGAAGGGAAAGGAGTTTGTAAGCCGCTCTGAGACTCCTTTGGGTAGTGAAGGGTGGGGTATAAATCCAATCTCCTCTTCTTGATTCTGTAAGTGTGGTGCAAAAATGACACTTGTTCTCCTTTTTCAAGCTATTGATAGAGCAGTTCAGATTTACACTAGACTGTTTGAAAAGTATTTCACAAATGAAATTTATTGGTGGTATAGACAATTGCTAATAACTATGTTAGAAGTGATGGATTAATGTTCTCAGCTGGGTCTTGACAGTTTGTGGATTATTATTTTTTTTAAGTACGCTTCTGTCTTCAGTGTCCCCTTCCGCATGCCATTCTTGGAGCCTGCATCCTGAGTAATACTGCAAATCTGGATAGGTAGTATATGGTTATGTAATGCAACACTGGGAAAACAATTTTTAATGGCATTTTGTCCAGCTGCAACAAAATACTGCTACTATGTTGCCTCCATTTTAGATTCTTCCATTCAATTGTTTTTGTGAAGAGACTCTGAGTTGGATTGACCTCTGTGCCTCCTCCTTCCACAGGCACCAGCTGCAACCTCCTTTACCTTCTGTAGCAGCTTGGTACGTCTGTGGGTAGCGTGTGCTGGGCTGAGAGCTGGGACATGGGCAGAGCTCTTCTGGTTTTTGAGGCCAGCTTTAAGCAAGGTTGAAGAGTTGTCTTGCTCTTTGTGGTTTAAAACATGCATGCCATTATTGCCTTTGGCAAGCCAACTTCTCAGATTTTTTTTTATTGTGGTAACCTGCAAAACTTGCTTCAGGTAGATAACTGGGGGAGAGAAGTAATGCATGTAAGCACCATGGGAAGGGAAGCCAGTCAATTTTCAGTTCTCAGACTATTCTCTGACTGAAGCCTTAAAAATAAAATAATGTCAAAAATTAAACTTTCTACCTGTTAAAATTAAAAGATCTCTATATTTCTTTGGGAGGAGCTTGAAAGCAGACATGACTGCACTTTATCTCCATACATACAGAAAGGGTTTTGAGGCAAGGAAAGAAAACTGCTAGGTATATTGCTCTGTACAAGAACAAACAGCTACAAATGCAATTGCTGCTTTAATTGGAGTTTGCTCGTGCATTATCCTGTAATAGTTGCAAATGGCCAGTTGAAGACTGAATCCAAGTTTTAAGATCTGAATGTGTAAACATCTAATCCCAGTAGTTGCGAGCTGCAAAAGAAGCATGGAGTTAATTTGTATGAGTTTTGCTAATGAAGGCAGCAAGACATGTCAAAGGTACTCTGGAGCAGAGACAGTGCACTATGCTAGTCAAGCTTCCAGACTCTGGACTCTCAACATTTCCAGGTTTATTAGGATCTCCTGCAACTTTTTAAGGACTTTTAACACTGAATTAACTATACAAGTACTGTATGCTACTGTTGCCTTCTAGAAATAGTAGTCCCTAGCCCCTACTCTTGTTGCATTTGCTGAGTTAATGGACTAGGGGATGAATTGACATGGTTTTCAAGGATCAGACTACCACATTTCATACTAGATCTTTCTCCCTGCCCCTTCCCTTTGCTCTCTACTTCAGCCAAGTGGTTGAAACTAGCAGAATTGCAGTACTGATTTATGTGACCCTTCCACTAACTGATGTGATAAGAGCTGTGTAAGAATGGTTATAATACTGAATGTTCTGTTTAGTATTGAAAATGTGCTCTGTAGAGCTTCCACGTGTATCCCTTTGAGTCTGGTCTGTGCTTTCTCATGGTGCTGTAGTGTACATGGTGGTATCCAAGTCATGTTATATGCATTGCCTGGATTTGTAAAAGGGGAAAACAATCTGATAATTGTAGTCTTAACATTACTTTCTAAACCATAATTGTAAAGGTTACCCAATTATGTGTTCATGTGTTTGAGCAAAGTTCATGGTCTGTGTTTTCAGACGTGGAAGTTGGATCCAGACTCCCACTGCATTCACCCACTCATTCAAAGGAGAAAGAAAGGGATATCTTTGCCAGTTCTCCTGCAGTCCCTTGCGCTGCATTCCCCTCATTCCCGGCCATGTCCTGAACCTCAGCAGCTTATTTGAGGGCTGTTCATAAGAAAGGGAAGATGGCAAAGTCGCATTCCATTCATTGATCTTTGGATTCATTGTATTATATTGAAGAGAAGGAAAGCAGGTGCACAGGCGAATTGTACGTCCACAATTCTGCTTATCGCTGGTGAGATGTATGAGCTGTCCCAAGTGCTATGCATCTCACTGCAAAAATGAGAGTTCTTCCTTCCAACATAAGCCAGTGTGACAATTGATTTCCCCATTTCAGCATAACATAAGATGTAGTCTGTCCTACCTGAAATACTACCTTTTAAAACTTGATTACTAGTCATTTGTGCCATGGTTAGCAAAAATGGAATGCGTATTACTGTATAACTCAAATCTTTTCATTACTAGATCAAGATGGGTAGCCATCTGTAGCAGTAGAAAAAGAGCAAGAGTCCAGTAGCATCTTAAAGACTAACAAAACATGTGGCAAGGTATGAGCTTTCGTGAGTCACTGATCACTTCTTCAGATATTGGTCTGGGGTTCATGAATTGTTACAAAAATGGTTAAAATGTAATATACCTTATGTACCAGAGTTGTTCTTATTGAATATATTGCCATAAAATTGTAAATAGCAGGACTCATAACTTATTATACATGTAGTGACAGCTGCAAGAATATTATATGCCAAATACTGGAGAAAAAATGAGGTACCTTCAAAAGAAGAAATTATGGGGGGGGGATTTGAAAATGCAGAAATGGACAAACTCTAATCTTGAAAGAACAAAATGAAGAAAACTGAGAATTTATGGTCAAGATTTTATAAATGGATGGAAGAAACCAATAAATAAATTTTGTGGACATATAACCGAAACACAAGGAAATAAGAACTATAACTTGTTTTTATTTTTAATTACAAACAAAAGATATATTTTAAAATATAAGGTGGAAAAAATTGAAAAATACAATTTGGTAGCGTATGAGGTATTTTAACAGAAAATGTTATGTTGTAAATGGAAACCCCCCTTTTTGTATGTATGTTTGTATGTTTGTTTATTTTATGTTTTGTCTTATATGGAAAATTTAAAAAAAAGATCTGAGTCACTGAGTCAGATCTGAAGAAGTGATCAGTGACTCACAAAAGCTCATACTCTGCCACATGTTTTGTTAGTCTTTAAGGTGCTACTGGACTCTACTACTCTACTTTTCATTACTAGTTAGCATTTCCCTATGATGGGGCTGGCATTAGAATAAATTGACTCCAGTTTCTGTTTTGACTAGTTTTGAGGTACATTCTGAGATAAGAACCCACTGTCCTCAAATTCTAATTTGCATTTTTTGAGTGCTGAACACTTTCTGAATAAATTGAAATAAAAGGGATGAATACCCTTTATTATAAAATGTGGGAGAACTTTATTTTTTACTTTCTTTTTTATCGTGTAAAAATGTTGACAGGTGTACATAGAATTTGTTGTAATCTCTAATGGTTAAATTAAAATACCTGATGTGGACCTGGCATGTGTATTTTGTGTGAGTCAGTTGTATGAGAGAAGCACCTCCCCCCCCCCCCGACAAAGAAGATGCAGTCCCCGTTGTTTACTTAAGAACTGATGGCGATGAAACAGGAGAGATGACTAGAGCGCTGCTGGCAGAAAAGTCGAAGCAAGACTGATCAAACAGAGCATAGAGACCATATTAAACCCTATTCCATGTCAATGATGGCACGAAAAGGCAATATTTCTCTGCCACCACTGTGTCTACATGTAATTGTCCAGCTGAGCTGTTTTGTGTGGTCTGGGGGCTTTTACATCATAGTCCCAGGGAATTGGATTCTAACCACATGA